TGACATGAGCTCGAAAGACATGAGCTCGAGAAACACCAGCTCGAAAATGATTAAATTGATTTAACGGCATGTATAATATGAGATTTCATTATTACCTTAATTACTAAATATAATAGAGCTATAAATATATAAAATATGAGAAATTCTTAATTAGATAATGAGCAAAATTACAAAATATTATTAATTCACGAGATAATATTACTTGATATAATTACTTTAATACAATTGCTCATCCTGCTGATTTTTAATTACAATATAAAACTGTTTTTGTATTGTATTAAAAACTAAAAATATATAACTAAAAATGTGTAATAAAAAATATTATGTAAAAATTATGATAATAATGATATCTCATATTAAATATGCTGTAAAATCAATTTAATCATTTTCGAGCTAATGTCTTTCGAGCTGGTGTCTTTCGAGCTCATGTCTACGTCCCGATTGACTATATAAGTTTAATGCATGCGTTTTAACATTAGACCTTGTTACTAACAATTGGGATTTTCGGATTGCCCGACTTCGATTTTAATTTAATTGCGTTATTCAGAGAGTTTCATACAAAACACATCTATGTACTTTTTAAGCGATGGCATTCACTTTGGGAGGCATGAGAGGGGGTCATATATTTCATGTTTCTCATGGGTATGGAAATAAGGTAGTCAGTTTATATATAGCTCTGTGGCCGAGTGGTTAGAGTGTCCGGCTACTAATCTGAGTTGCCCAGGTTCGAGACGCTCTTGAACCATGTTTTATTTATAACTTTTTTTACATTCTAATGTCATTACTGGTCTATGATTCGAAATAGTAATATAGTTATAAAATAATTAATGAATTTTTATAAAAAAAAAGTGAATTAGTAAATATTTTTTTATTAATAAAAATTACACAAATTAAAATGTAAAAAAGTTAAAAATAAAACATGGTTCAAGGGCGTTTCGAACCTGGGCAATTCAGATTAGTAGCCGGACACTCTAACCACTCGGCCACAGAGCTATATATAAACTGACTACCTTATTTCCATACCCATGAGAAACATGAAATATGTGACCCCCTCTCATGCCTCCCAAAGTGAATGCCATCGCTTAAAAAGTACATAGATGTCTTTTATATGCCCGAAACTCTCTGAATAACGCAATTAAATTAAAATCGGAGTCGGGCATCGGAAATATACGCATCGTTAGAGCAAAAATACCCAAAACTGTTACGACAATAGCCACTAATTTCATGAGGTTAGTATTTAATCATTGATACATAATTAACTTAAATAATATTAATTTTTACAATTATTGAGAAATCATTGAGATATAATTAATATATAACTTTTTATAGCTTATAATAATTTTATGATATTAGTATAAGGTTTCTGATAGATATTTAAGCTCTCGTACATTAGTTGATATATTGAACTCATTCATATGATTAATTAACAATTACATAATTACAAAACGCTAAAACATGAGCATAAAACACTTTATAATTTTCTAATGCTTTATTAAAACAAATATTATAACTCAAAATTCAGCATTAAGAGATAAATCTAATTTTAATTATAATAAATGTGCTAATTGGGGTTTTATTTACCGATCATCGTAGCAGTAATCCAGTCTATATAAGCGGAAACACGGGTATAAACGGCCGGTGATTGTTTGCCATATGAAGTGATACCGTCCACAGTCCAAAAATCGTTAGCCTGTTTGCAGTTGAGGGGTCCGCCACTATCACCTTTACCGGTATCTTTTGTACCATTTTCATTTCCTACGCATAATTGGATATTGGGTTGATATTCTAAATCACAAATGAACAAAAGAAATGATAATTAAATAAACAAAAATACTAATTATTTTATATAACTAATTACAGCTAACTGGCTAATGTGAATTAAAAAGCATTAATTTTGTGAATAACGTTACGTTATGGTTAAAAAAATATATAAAGTAAAGCAAACTTTATATTTTGCTTCAAAAGGTTTTAAAAAATTAAACGAGCTATATAACGGCTAATATATTAAACGCTAACCTTTATATATTTGAAAGCACGGAGCATTCTCCACGATTGGTAATTCAACCTTTTGCAATAAGTTTGAGAAACTATATTTATCAAAAGGATTGGTTAGGCCCCAACCGGTGGCCACGCATGTATCGTTTAAACGTAATGTTGATTTAGCCAACGGTAAGCATACAGGTTGGAGACGTTTATGCACATTATTTAGATCCAACTTGTAGTCTAACTTGAGCAGGGCGATATCATTGAACCCATGTATATTTTTTATATACAAATTATTCAGATAGTTTTCGTGAATGTGAATGTTTTTCTAAATAATTATATTTAATTCATTGTTATATAATATGTTGAATAATTATGATATATTATATATATTTAAAAATTTGTATGTAAATTATCAAATTAAATGTTCTAATAAAATAAAGAAACAAATAATCACATATAAATAGCATATTGAATTAAAAAGTTAAATGTCAAATCTAAATTATATTTTAATTATCAATAAGTTAATACTGTAATATTATACTTTATACTATTTAAACTAGTTAAATTAAAGCTGTGATTGATTG